TTTGGTACTGGGGATTGAACCTAGAAACACTTAACCGCCCAACCCTTTTATTTTTTATTTTGAAACAGGGTCTCTTAAGTTGCTGAGACTGGCTTTGAACTTGCAATCCTCCTGAGCCTCTCCAGTGCTGGGATTATAGGCATGCTCCACCGCACCCATCAGCAAATATTATTTATGAAAAGTTATGAGACTGCTGGGCTCAGTGGCTTACACCTGTAATCCCAACCACTTAGGCTGAGGCAGGAAGATCACAAATTCGAAACCAGCCTCAGCAATTTAGCAAGACCCTGTCTCAAGATTTAAAAAAATAAGGGCTAAGCTTGTGGCTCAGTAGTAGAGCGCTTGCCTAGCTCATGTGGGGCGCTGGGTTCTATCCTCAGCACCACATAAAAATAAAAAATAAAGGTACTGTGTACAACTACAACTAAAACAAAATATTTTAAAAAGATAAAAAATAAGAAGGACTGGGGATGTGGCTCAGGGATTAAGCACCCCAGAGTTCAATCCCCGGTATCAAAATAAAGAAAAGAAAAAACTGAGACTATTTTCAAGAAAAGTAAAATTTCCAAATCCAACAACTTCTCACCTGCCTAGAAAATTTCCGTGGTTCCCTATTGCCTCAGCAGTGCTAAAGGACTGTCTGGTTTTTCTGTGAGCTCAACAGTGCCACTATTAAAACAATGGTAGTCACTTCCAATTCATAACATTAAGTTAGCAGAGAGAATTTTCTCAATTGTCAGTGTTCTCAAATGTTTGCCTTTTCTGGTCCTTCCACACCCTTTTCCTTCTTCTCTCTTACTCACTCTTCAAACTCAGGCCAAAATTCTACCTTCCCTCCAGCATATTTTTAAGGACACTTATTTTCCTTACATTTGATTATTTGAGGTGGGGGGATAGGGGTACCAGGGATCAAATTCAGTTGCACTGAACCACTGAGCCACATCCCCAACCATATTTTGTTGTCCCCCCACCCACCCCCACCCTCACAGTGCTGGGAATTGAATCCAGGACCTTGGGCATCAAGGCAAGCACTCTACCAACTGAGCTATATCCCCAGCCCGACTTCAACCCTATTTTGTATTTTATTTAAAGACAGAGTCTCACTGAGTTGCTTAGTGCCTCGCTGTTGCTGAGGCTGGCTTTGAACTTGCGATCCTCCTGTCCCAGCCTCCTGAGCCACTGTTATTACGAGTGTGCTCCACCATACCAGGCTACATCTTCATTCTTATAGTAGTGCTTTCTGATCCGTGGGCCAGAGATTGTGAGGAGGGAAGTAAAGATGGAAGAACAGAGAGTGTCTACAAAGTTCTACCTACACAAAGCATTTTCTACAGAATGAGTAAATTCGTTTTGCAGTTTTAAAAAAAAAATGTTTTTTTCTTCTCACACCTGTGTCTAGCTCTTCCAGAATGTAGACTATGAGGCCAGGGGGGGGCCAGGGGGATGTAACTAAGTGGTAGAGTGCTTGCCTTGTATGCACAAGTCTCTGGGTTTAATCCCTAGCACCAAATATGGCGTATGTTATCTCTGATTTAACATAAATAATATATTCAATTACAGTATTTTCAGCTGTATGTCATTATTCCTTGGTGTTGTGTTAAAAAAAAAAAAAAAAAAAAAAGTAGGACATTTGAGCTCCACCACCCCAGCCCACTGAAGCTCAAGAGAGCTGGGAGAAAGCCATGATTGTTTAGCTCAGAGGATAACAGTTTACAGTCTTCTGCTGCAGCTTTTCTCTCTAGCTCCCCCAACTGCCCAGTCTGGTTATACTGCTCTTCCTCAGGACCCACGTTCCCCAAATATACCAGGCACTGTCTTTTTCAACTGCTATCTCCTTTTTCATACTAATCTCCCAGCTTTAAAAATTTCAGCCCTCTGCTCCCTTTTCTAACAACAGTGGAAAAGTTGCCTATGATATATTGTCTATGTGACAAGCCCTTCCCTCTGTCTTGTTAACCATGCCTCTTCTAAACCCTGTCTTCACTTGTTTTCCTCCTTCTTCCCCACTTTTCTAGTGACAAGAAGTGGAGGATCGGTGGGAAAAATTAGAAGAGCTCTCATCTATCCAGTCAGTTCAGCATTATCTGAGTTAGGGGAGTCAAGCAGTATAAAGAAACTTCCTGAACCAGGAATCTGGGAATCAGATTCCAAGTTAGACCTTGCCAGGAACATGATGAGGATCCTCAATCCCTTCACTTCTGAACCTCTCAGTTTCTATATCTGTAAAATGGAAAAAAATTATTCCCACCCTGCCATTTCATAAGGTTTTTAGGAGAATTTATTTTTTAAATGGATATGCCAGGCACTGTGGCATATGCCTGTAATCCCTGCTACTGTGGAGGCTGAGGCAAGTTTGAGGCCAAGCTCAGCAACTTAGTGAGGAAGACGCTGTCTCAAAATATTTAATTTAAATTAAAGGCCTGGTGGACTGGGGTTCTGGCTCAGTGGTAGAGCACTTGTCTCGCATGCATAGGACACTGGGTTTGAGCCTCAGCACCACATTAAAAAAACCTAAATAAATAAAGGTGTTGTTTCCATCTACAACTAAAAATATTAAGTAAATAAAGGTGTTGTGTACATCTACAACTAAAAAAAAAGAAAAAGAAAAAGTCTTTAAATTAAAGACCTGGGGATGTAGCTCAGTGGTAGAATATCCCTGGAATCAATCCCCTATTCAGAGAAAAAGAAAAGGAAAAAAAAGAACCCCTGAGTATAAAAGTGTTTTGAAGAGTGTAGAGCATCACAGTCTAATTCCTTCATATAATTTGAAATTTCCAAATCACTGCCAAGTCGTGGCATATAAACTTCCTGTCTGAGAATTAAATCAACATTATCAACGTTAATGAATATTTTGATGATTTAACTCTATTAGCCAATTTAATTCTTTGACAAAAATTTCTATATTTCTAATTATACTGTTTAAAAAAATTTTTGGATTTTTCTATATTTTTTTCTATATTGAATTTGTATCAAGATATATTCTTTTCTCTATCAATTTTATAATAAAGATTTTATTTATCAATTATCCTTTATTTTTTCTGATTTTTACTGATTATTATTGCTTCAGCCATTATGAAATTTCCTTGTTAATAATTATTTCCACCAAGTCTACCTTTTCCTCAAAGCAGTTGGAGCCATTGTTGATTTTATTTTGTGTCGATTATTCCTACTAAGTGGAATTTTCCCAGGGGTCAAATTTGCTGTGGTCAATGTTACCAACAAAGATGGGATTATTCAGTTTGCTTCTCCATCCATAATAAATTGTACCACATGTAGCTTTAGCCATTGTCAGTTTTATTTTGTGTTGATTATTTCTACCATATCTAATTTTCTTCTGCAATCCCCTCAAAATAAACTCAGAGTCAAAATGACAGAGTCCAAACACTGTCCTTTGCCTATTACTATCTGATTAACTTGTGCTTTGTAGTGTTTTTTTTTTTGTTTTTTTTTTTTGTTCCAGCAATGTTAATGAGCTTCTTTTCAAACCACCTCTCAAAACATCTCTTTGGGGGCTTTGGCACATGTGTATGCTTTAAGAACTGCTCTGGGGGGCTGGGGATGTGGCTCAACCGGCA